TTTTACCAGTTCAAGATGAAGAGGGGAGTTTCCATTGGATAGCATGTAAATAATTTCACGAAGCTATTTTTAGATATGGCCAATGTGGACATCATGGTTGAGGATGAAGATAATGCGATGCTACTTTTGTGTTCGTTGCCCAAGGATGATTATGGTACATTCGTTCTCACTATGATCAATGGAAGAACTATTGTTAGTTACAAGAAGGTCATCTCGGTGTTGGTGAATTATGAGCTGAGGAAGAGTGATGGTGAATCCTTCGAGAAGGCATCGGGAGATGCATTAGCAGTTTGAGACCGTAATCCAAACCACCGCCAGTTTAACTGCTCAAAATCAAAGAATAGAGGTGCCTATAAGAGTGTTGGTAGAAATCAATGTCGGTATTATAAAGAAGAAGGACATTGGAAGATTGACAGCCCAAAGTGGAAGGATAAAGTCGGGAATAACAAAGGGAAAGCTGTACAAGCTTCAGAAGTGAATGTTGCAAAAGATATTAGCGAACATTCAGATTTAGATTCTTCGGGCTATTCGTATCCTGCACTACCGTTGGTTTGCTATGCCGACTTTACGGAGTGGATGTTGGATTCGGGAGTCACATATTACATTTACCCTAGAAGAGATTGGTTCTTTAGGTTTGAGGAGATGGAAAGAGGGGATGCCATGCTTATGGATAATGATCATGTATGCCCCATTAGTGGTATCGGTTCAGTCCGGATCAGGATGCATGACAGTGTGGTGAGGGAGTTGAAAGAAGTGAGGTTCGTACCGCAGTTGACGAAAAACATCATTTCTCTTGGTACTTTGGAGACAGCTAGTTATCGGGTGACCTTAGAGGATGCTACAGTAAAGGTCATGAAGGGTTCTATGGTGGTGATGCGAGGAGTCAGGGAAAATTTCTTATACTACTTGAAGGGCAAGACAATTACAGGGGGTCTGACAGCTTCCATTACTACAGAGGATGACACTATCACTCTATGGCACATGAGATTAGGATACACATGTGATAAGTCCCTATAGTCATTGACGAAATAAGGGCTATTGAAAGGTGCTAAAACCTGTAAGATGGAGCTGTGTGAGCATTGTGTACTTGAGAAGACGACTAGAGTGAAGTTTGACACCGCTATTCACAACACCCAAGGAACATTGGATTACATTCACACAGATATTTGGGGTCTTTCCAAGAACACATCACTTAGTGTGGCCAACTATTTTGTCACTTTCATTGATGGCTATTCCAGGAGAAATTTGGTATACCCTATGAAGCATAAACATGGGGTCCTGGATATTTTTGTGGAGTGGAAGAAGAAAGTGGAGCTGCAGACAGGTAGAAAGATGAAGTCTCTACGTTCAGATAACGGTGGAGAATATAAGAGTGATCCGTTTCTGCAGTTTTGCCGGGATCACGACATTAGGCGACACTTTACAATTTGAGAGACACCGAAACAGAATGGGATGACTGAGAAATTGAACCGTACCATTTTATGTGGAGATTTAAAACGATAAACATGGAAGAAAGGTAAAAAGAAATAAACGATATGAACTCTCAACTGTAACAACCATCTTGATGAGTCCTCTGTAGAACAGCAATAAGGCACAAATATAGCTTCAATGCCAGGTGCCTAACAGTCATTGCGCAAAATCTAGTTTAATAATTTATTCAATAACCTCACACTTTTAACTAATGGCACATACCAAAATAATCTAACGATGATGCCTTCCAGCAGCCCAGATTTCATTGGAGCGGTGTATTTTTTTCATCAAATCAAAAAAAAACGAAAAGCATGAGCTTTCATCATTAAAAAGAAGAATGAATGAATTACAAAATCACACACAATAGAGAAAACATCAACGGAAATGGTAAAATTTCGGAGGAAATTATACTTAACAATGGCGGCAAAAATCCTTCAACCTTCAACCATAACATCTTCATCCTAATTGTATCCAAACGGAACACTCCATTGAATCAGTGCATAATGCCTTGGCACCCATCAGCATCAGAGTCCCCAAATCTGCCCTTTTAACAAGTCTCATCCCCTTTTTGATACCCACAGTCACAACTGCCATACCCTCCCTCACCAAGCTACTGTTCTCCATGATGTCCATAAAAGCCCTCCTCTAAGATTCATTTATTTCAGCAATTTCTGCGTCATACATTATGGAAAGTATGCTTATGTTTCAGTTGTTTGGTGATAGCTTCCTAAGATGACCCTGCCCTCATCCATCTCTGCGTCAAAATTTTCGTGTAACAAATGGATTACGCCCCCGCCTGGTTTGGTAGATTTCATCTTAAATTTTCTTTTCACTTAAATCTCTAATGTGAATACCAACTTGTTAGCATTTTCTTAAGGAAAAGGCAATTGTGAATAGTCCCACATTGGAAGTTGAAGAGAAGTTCAAGTGGTTTATAATGGTTCACTTCCTAATGGGCTTTGAGTAATGTTTTGGGCCTACTAGTGTTTGAGCTCTTTCTCCACACACGCGCGCGCGCACGCCACGCCTCGCCTCGCCACGCCTCGCCTCGCCTCGCCACGACACGACGCGCGCGCCACGCCACGCCGCACCGCACTCGGGTTTTGCTTCTCCAGCTTTTATTTTTTTGTAACGGCAGCATTTATTATGTAACGGCAGCATTTATTATGTAACGGCAGCGTGATTTACGCCCAACGGACGAGGAGATTCAGCATCGGTTACTGGTTCATGAGGCTATATAAGGAGGCAGAGTTCATTCGGGAAAACACACAGAAATTCACAAAGAATTTCATAGCTCCCTCTTCCTCCTTCTGCTACTCTTAGTACTCAAAGATTTTCGGCTACATATTTTGAGGATTATTTTGGGCAATCATCTTCATCTGAGCAGAAGCTCTGCTACTCGCGCCCGAGTAGAGAGGCCGGCCGTTTCCGGGGGGCTTTTACCGCTAGGGGGGAGGATCAACTACGCCAGGGCGACAGGCGGGTCCTCTATCTTCTAGGGCAGTGTATCACGACTGCACCCCGTTCAGGCCTGATTTTCATAACTCATTTATTTTCAGTTAAACTAATTGTTTATTTTGTTAGCAACTTGTTGCTAGGTCACAATCATTTAAGGCCGGTTTGGTTGCTGAAGAGGGGCTTGGGAAAGCCTGTCAAAACTAACAAAACTAAACTCTCGGCACTAAAAGTGTTTGGGTGCCAAAACACGTTTGATTTCAAAACAAGTTTTTAGCGTTTTCATTTTTATTTCTTTTTTTTATGAAAAACATATTTGAAAAGCTTATTTTTGGAAATATATATATTGATGAAAATTTTATCTAAATGAAAACAAAACAGCAAATTTTGTTCTTAAAATAAATACTTTAGTTTTCATTATGTATTATGATATGAATTTGATGAAATAGCTAGATCGATTGCCCAAGGATGCATTATGCCAAAACCTTTGCACTAGTTGCAAGGATGGAAATATATACATTATGACAAAATTCTTTTTTATGACAAAACTGTCAGTTTTGACAGACTTTTTTGCAAAAACGCCACTTTTAGTGGCTTTTTTTGCAAGAAAGCCTGTCAAAACTGACAAAAACTGTCAGTTTTGACAGTCTTTCTGCCCATTTCAACACCTCTTTAACGCAACCAAACGCGCCCTTAAGGCCCCACATCTCAAATGCCACAAATAATAACATTAAATATGATTAAAATTAAAACAACAATATTTGGTTTGTGGATAAATTACTGTCACCGGTGATTCCTTGCCCAACGAAATTCTATTTGTGTTTTCTAGTTGGATAAGGATTCCGTTTTGTGGTAAATCTAAGCAATAGCTAGATCGCCCGCCTAAGTCATGGGCCGCTTACGCAAACTGCACCACGCTTAAAATAAGGTATATTGCTCGCTTAAGCATAACAACGGTCGGGGAGAATAGGTCGGGTTAAAACGGACAATGGTTCGAATCTTCAGAAGCATTCCTTTCTCTCTTGATGTTACAAATGTCCGCGTGCTGTCGCCTCGGTGTCCGCTTAGACGTCTGGAAGCTAGACGCTAGGCATGACGCCTATAAACGCCTAGCGCTTTCTAAAACATTTGCTTATTCTGAATTACACTGTCCCAACAGATCCCTCCCTCAAAAGATTTGATCCAAAACCACAGGTTCTAATTGCTAGGTCACAATCAGTAGGGGGTCCCACTTTTGGTCTCCAATCAATCCTAAATCAGTCCAATTAATCAAACCTTGTGGGATCTTAATTACCTCAAATAAATTATCCAAACGGATTTCAATTAATCACGACAACTAATTAAAAATGAAAAAATAAAAAAAAATCAAGGACCGCACTTCCTCCTAAATCTTGTAGCTTACGTCACAATCACAAAGGGTCCCACTTTTATTCCTCAATCATCTAACTCAATCCAACCCGATCAAAACCACCAAAAATAACTTTAAAAAAAAAAAAACAAACAAACCAAGAATCAATGATTAACTGGTAACAATCACTAAAGAGGAGGAAAATCAAGAATAAAAAATAACTAGCAATAATACAAAATCAAAGGATCAAGAACCCTGACCTTGTCTTGGCCGAGGGAGTCGATGAGGGCCACGATGTCGCCGGCGAGGTGGAAGATTGCGAGGACCTGGTGGCGCCAGGAGTACCAGAGCTCGGGGAAGCCGTGGAGGAGGAGGACGGTGGGGCCCTCGCCCTTCTCCGCCACGTGGAGCCTGATCCCGTTGGCCTCCACGGTCCGATGAGTTATGGTGTCCATGGGGTTCGTTTCTGATCCCTCGAGGAAAGAGGAGGGCGACCACGCGGTGCGAGAAGAAAAAGGCGGGGATCAGTTTGGATGCGGGGCCCAGCTTGGGTTTGCAGGATGTGTCTATTTTCACAAAGCCCCCCCTTTTTTTTTTGGGTAACAAGGAAGCCTGGTAATAAAAATCTCAGAGTTAAAAGAAGATTTTCCGATAACCCTAAAACTTAATTAATTAAAGGGGTTTCTAATATTTTAAAAGTTCTAAGGATTGTCTCATAATCGTCCAAAGATAAGGTGGGTTTCTAATATTTAGCTTTAAAAATATTAGGAACTTTGGAATCTTCAATCTTTCCTAAAAATCTAAATATTTTAATTCTTATTAAACGCTGATAGGTTTATAGTTATTTTACATTTTGTTGTCGTTCGCATCTCCTGCTTTGGACGAGACGTCTCAAGACTAGATTAGTGCTCTGCCTCGATTTGAAAATTAACATATTGTTTTATGTCATTTGGATTTTTTTTAAATTAAACCTTGCCCTTTTGCTCCCTACATATTTCCGGAATTGTTTGGAATCATCCATCTTCGACTACTATTTAATTTGTCAAAATTAATTATATGACCTCATGGCAATAAAGTTTGGTCCAATGGAATGAGGAATTTGTTCCAATGTGGTCCCCAACGCATGATGGCAGGAGATCAGATTCTATATGCATTCCTAGTGAAAAGAAAGCCAAGAAATTACTTTTGACTATCAAATCAACATGACAAATATATATCATGCATGCAATTGGTGCTAACATGGTCAAAATTTTTTTTTTTTTTTTGTTAAAATAACAAAAATTTACCTCTTACAAATGAAAGGATCAATGAAATTGGTAATGATGGTATGAGATTTGAAGTACTCACACGAACTCTAATATTTTGATGCAACACATGCAGGAGAAGATGTAGGCCTAGCATGAAGGTTAAGAGCCACTCAGCATAGCCAAGGAAACTTGCCTATTGAGCCCAAATTGAGATCTCAATTTATGACTTCAGGCTTAGCTTGAACCGAAAAGACCTCATATATATATATATAGGATTTATGAGGCAAGTCATCCTTGGCTACCAAAGTTAGGCTCTTATCCTCATGCAAGGCCCCCCTCCAACATTATACGTCTTGATTTTTGTTATGTTTCTATCTCTGAACCTCACATTTCTCAATTTATAGACATTGCGAAGCCTGTCAAGAACTTTAGTTGCTCTCTTCATGAGGAATATATTCCTCTGGTCTAAAGGGATCAGGGAGTCTTCAACGGATAAGAAGATATATGTGCGAAAAAAAAGAAGAATACATAGTTCTGGATTAGCCAAATGATGTGTCCTCTAAGCGATATCAAAGGTCATGATACCAAAAGATTTTGTGCTTCAAATTCTTTCTTCGAAACCTGAGTTTGACTTGAATTAAACAGGATAAGTGCAAGGAACAATGTTGATGTGTCATCGTTGTGCTTGTTCGATGGGTTGATCGAGCCTTCAACGACAGGGCAGTACTGTCGCTTGACATTCTGTTCGTGGTGATTCTTGATATTCTCCTTTATTTAATTTGATGTTTTGACCCTTTCATTAATTTGACAGAAAAGAGACTACTTTCAAATCATTAAACTGTACATATATAGGACCATTATATTACATTTCAAAAAAAAAATTTTTTGCTAATGTGTCATGCAGACATACCCCCTACGTACATGTGCATTTCCATCAAGACATATGGTATGTAAGTGTGTGCGGGCGCGCGCGCGTATATAAGTAGTGGTCTCTCCACTACTTTTTTGTAGTGGAGAGGATCCAAATTCTTTTTAGCCATTCATTTATATATATAAAAAACCTCTTCATATCTTTTATGGATCACTAGGTAACATCAATGGCTAAAAAGTTTGATAGATAACTTTTTGCTATCCACTTAAGTTGACACAAGTTTTGCTCTCTCTATATATATATATATAAAGCTCTTGAGCTATGGCTCTCTCTTATCGAAAAGCTAATAGAAAAAAAAAACAGTATAGATGTCGATTTCTTCCCCTCAAATTTTTTAGTCGTAGTACAACATTTAGCAAGTGCAAATGCACATGAAAAATATAAAATTGTTATCCAGTTAATTATTTTATTATACATATTAATGGTTGATAACATTACATATTAAATTATTATCAAACATTAATTTTTTATTTATAAGAAAAATGTAATGTTTGATAATGATTTAATATATATATAATGTTGACATAGAGTTGGATGTAGAAATGTATCACGCACTGTTATTTAGTAATTAAATCAACAAACATTCTAATTAACATAACTTTGTTGAAGAGTTTTCTTATCGAGGATATTATCATTGAAGCAAGCGATTAATTAAAATAAAAAAGAGAAAATGGTGAATATTGTAATTGAAGAATGTGAGTTTCTATTCTCATGTCATGATTTAGAATGCTCCAAAATAAGAAAAGAAAACAAAGGAAAAAAATTTCTCTTGCAAAATTTACAATTTTAATTATGTGAGTTCAAATAATATCTTCATGTCGTGACTTTACAATGTTCTAGAAATAAAAAATGGAAAGTAAAGAAAGGTGGGGAAAAAAAATCTCTTTGCAGAATTTTGATTTTAATTACCCAATAGAAAGGAGGATAATGTCCTCCATTCATCCAACATTTTATTATCCTCACTAACTTCTTTATATAGTAGTATAGATTTGTACAAGAGATTAGTTATTTATCAAAAAGTAAATTAGTATCAAGATGAATACAGGATGAGTGACTCCTTTATAAACTTTCAGATGTTTTTTCCTTGGACGGCAGATTCACTTATTTGCATCACAATAGTAATAGTGACTGAGGTAAACTACCTGCTGATTTATATTTTGTCAAATTTAGTCTATAGCTTGCCTGTAACTGATGCATTTTGGCTTAACTACTTCATACCGATAAGCATTCTTGAGCTTTCATGCTTTGAATAAGATCTCTGGTACTTCAGGAATACAAATTTGGTTTAACTAACTTGAAAACTTTTTAGGGTGATCCTCATGCACAGTGATTACAGTGGAAAGAAACTTGTAGTTTCTCACTAAGTCAAGATTTGGTGAAAAATATGCAACTAGTATATATATATGCAGTCAAATTGACATTATGCTCACTGTAAGCTCACTTGCTCAACGAAACGAGGTGCTGATAATAGCTAATCTAACATTTTAAGTACATAATCCATATCATTCTTATATTAAAAAAAATTCCTGTAGACTTATGATCAATTTGTCATACAATTCACACGATACAATTTTACTCGACATTCAGACCCTGTACTGAGAAGAAAAAAAACTACTCTTGACTGAATTTTAGAATGTGAGCCTGTTTGAAATAACTACATTGCTTGAATTCTTTCAAACATCTACCATTCCTCTTAAGCGCCCCAAAATGTTAATACTACGAACACAATGACGACGACAATGGAAACGATGCTAGAAGAGATATAGGCCTAGCATGTAAGATAAGAGCCACTTAGAATAGCCAAGGAGATTGCCTATGCACCAACATTATGATCTCAATTTCTCTATAGCTCAAGTTATCAAAGACCCAAATGAGGATATAGGCAAATCATCCTTGGCTACCAAAGATAGGCTCTTATCTTCATGTAAGGCCCTTCTTCTTGTTCATGTTGTGATAATGCTTGCCTCAAATGGCTCTATAAATAGGGAAGTCTATGCTTGCTTTCATCTAATAACATTATCCTATGATCAATAACTTGCCTTCCCCCATAAAGAATATAATCCCATAATCTAGAGGGACCCCTCAAGCTTGTAATCCACCAAATAGATAAGAGGATATTTGGAGATAGTATGACGTGTATCTCCACACTTCACTTTAATGAAATGCATATTATTATGCTCTATTATCCCACAAAAGGGTACATCAAAAGTTCTATCCTTATCTTAGTGAAGTTCCTATAGAAATCTAATTATCCCTAAAAGATGGCTGGAAATAACCCAAAGGTTTATGAAAAGAAAGAAACTCAGTAGGCATATTGTGACCGTGGCCATTGACATTCTTAATATACTTTCGGGCTAGCTGAGAGTATGAAGAGTGGAAGCATATTCGACTCTGTAATCATAGAGTTATTCATCTTGCTATCGTATTTCAATAAGGTTATGCACAAATCAATATCATGTAGATGTCTTACATCAAACAAAATCTAGACTTAGTGCTTTGAAACTAAAACATTGCACTGGACAATATACATGTTGTTTTAAATGGATATGGTCCATACCGTTGAAAGGATCATAGAACAGAATTGATTTTGGACAGCATAATGTTGAGATATAAACTTTGCCCTTCACCTTGATATAAACGAAGCATTTTATATTACCTGATTATTTCTATTTCATCAGATTAGTTTATAGCTAGCGTGTCTATAACTGATGTATTTTGGCTTAACTACTTCACACCAATAAGCATTCGTGACCTTTCGAGCAGTAAATAAGATCTCAGGTAATTCAGGAATACAAATTTGGCTTAACTAACTAGAAAACTTTTGCGTTGATCCTCATGCATACTGATTACTGTGTGGAAAGAAACTTGTACTCTCACTTAGTCAAGATTTGGCAAAAAATATGCAACTAGTATTAACATCTACAATTTAAGTACTGATTGCATACCTGCTTCAATTGCTAATTGTACCAAGGTTTTTATCTTATCTGATTAGGTGTTGTTGGTTATACTGTATCGACAGCGGCAATTTCAGGGATTGATCTTTAATACCAATCCATGGATGATGGAACAAAGCTCACGGTATGTGTCACCAAGAAACAGAAGGATTGTTTGCCTTTTTTCACCTGTCCAAAGAAGCTTAAATGGCCAAACAAGCACACATGACTATGACTTCATTCATCAATTATTACCCTTTATAAACTTTCAGATCATTCCCCAACCTTGTTAAATTTGATACTCATGCCATTTTGTAACTCTTCAGTTTAGTTACTTCTGTCTGTTCTCACCAAAGAAAAGCTGAACATTGTTCTGCCCACAGGATGCAAGTATTCATTATGGATAACTAATGCTAGTTTCCTGATATTTTTGAGTTTCTGATATGAGTTTTTCCCCGTCTGTAAACATCTGGTTGCTGAGTTTATGCAAATTTTTTCTGTGAATAAAAGTTGCATACCAACATTGCCATTTTAATGTCTTCTTTTGAATGTGATTGTCAGAACTTTCCTTTAAGCATTAGAGTCTGTCAACTATACTCACTGAGTATATGTACAGAGAATTTGATATTATTCTCACTATAAGGCAGAAGTCTATATCCTTAACTAATCTTACATTGTAACTACATAAACCATATCATGATTGTATAAATAATTTCATGCACCACTTGTCATCGATTTTCCATATAATTCACATGATGTAATTTTACTCGACTTTCAGACCCTGCACTAAGAGGGAACAAAGAAAAAAAAAAGCACACACACACACACACACACATAGCGACTGAATTTTAGAATTTGAGGCTCTTTGAAATAACTACATTGCTTGAATTAATTACCTTTCTTCTAAGATCCTCAAAATTTACTATGAATACAATGGCAACGGTAACGATACTAGAAGAGTTATAGGCCTAGCATGTAAGATAAGAGCCACTTAGAATAGCCAAGGAGATTGCCTATGCACCAACATTATGATCTCAATTTCTCTATAGCTCAAGTTATCAAAGACCCAAATGAGGATATAGGCAAATCATCCTTGGCTACCAAAGATAGGCTCTTATCTTCATGTAAGGCCCTTCTTCTTGTTCATGTTGTGATAATGCTTGCCTCAAATGGCTATATAAATAGGGAAGTCTATGCTTGCTTTCATCTAATAACATTATCCTATACTCAATAATTTGCCCTCCTTCATAAGGAATATATTCCCATAATCTAGAGGGACGCCTCAAGCTTATAATCCGCCAGATAGATAAGAGGATATATGGAGATAGTATGACATGTATCTCCATACTACATTTTAATCAAATTAATGCATATTATTATGTTCCATGACCCCAGAAAAGGGTATTTCAAAAGTTCTCTTCTTATCTTAGTGAAGTTCCTATAGAAATCTAAACGTCCCTAAAAAGATGACTAGCAATAACCAAAAGATTTATAATCCATCATAAAAGGTTTGATTTATATTGTAGGATTCAAAGGAAGAAATTCCAAGTCTAGGCATATTGTAATGGTGGCCATTGACATTCTTAACATACTTTCTGGCTAGTTGAGAGTATGAAGAGTGGAAGCATATTTGACGTAATCACAGAGTTATCCATCTTGCATCTTATTTCATTAAGATTTTTGGGCACAAATCATTCTCATGTGGATGTCTTAAATCAAACAAAATCTAGACTTAGAACTTTAAAACTAAAACATTACACTGGAAAACATACGTGTTGTTCAAATGGATGATCCATGCTATCCAAATGATCATAGAGCAGAATTGATTTTCAACAGCATAATTGAGATATGAACTTTGCCCTTCACCTTGCCGTAAATTAGACATTTCATATATGCAAAAAATGGAAATCTTTGAACTATCTCATATTGACTGATATAATTTTATTCTAACCTACAACTACTTGTTGGAGTGGGCTCGATTTTTCCAACTTAATTATTGTTGTAGTTTTCTGCATGCAGATACAATTTTGCATGGTCTTTTCGGGCATGGTTATGTCATTATTTGGCTCGGAACTCTACATGAAAGTTGTAGGGGTGCATGCATAGTTTACTCCAAACTTTGAATCACAGGAATCAGAGCAGTATTGATGGAGTTATGGTCAGTCAAAGTACCCTATCCGAATCTGAACATATTTGTGTATTCCCAAGCATTTTGGAAGATAAAAGGGTAGACTAGAAGGTTCATCAAGGCCTACAAATTGGTAGGATCTCATTGTGGAGTTGTAGTCTAAGTTTTCCACTTGTTCTCTTGAAAGTATAGAGAGTTAGAGTGAATGAGAGTCTCTTATATTGTAGAGATCTCTAGTGTTGAGTTAATATAGAAGGAGCGTGTGTGAGGGCTGTGTGGAAGTCAGCGTTGTCGGGTGTATCGTGTGTGCCTTGTACCTATTTGTTGATTCCATTATAGTGAAGTATCCTCAGAGCTCCGAGCTCAACTCGTGGTTTTTTCCCGTTTGAGTTTTCCACGTAAATCATTGTGTCCATTTTTTGTATGTTATCTTTTATCTTTTTGTCATTAAGAACAAGATCCTAAAGTGATGTTGAGAAGTTTCGCGGTTCGTCAACACCAACACTACTGTTGTAGATTATAGCACGAAGTTTTAGAAACTTAATGTTTCCTGATGACGTAGCCCTTCTATACAATTAAAGTATGGGTTTTTCAGGTGAGATTAGTGTTTCAGATATGGACTGTAATCTTTGTTGAGTATTAATGGAATCATGACCTGGTTATACTTAGATGACGTAGGTAATCGCATTGATTGGCAAACCTCATTAAATCCATGTGTTTCTCTATTTTTTTTTCTTTTTGATTTGTAGTTATTACTCTGCTGTATTGCTTACTGTAATACCACTTAAATTCAGCAAATAAGCATTCAATCATCTATAAGCTGTGTTGATACAAACTCTTTGCACTTGAATTGAAAATATACTTGAAAGTCATTATTCAGCTCATACAAATAGGAGCCAAAATTGTCAATCATCAGTTCCATTAAGTCTTGATCCTCGTCACCAAATTTGATGACTACCTTATTGGCAATTTGTTGGGCGGATGTGGTACATAATCATTTTCATCGACGATTACTCAAGGTATGTCTGGGTTGATTTTATGAAGGAAGAGTCTAAAGCACTCTCTAAATTCAAGTAATTTCGAGAAGAAGTCGAAGGAAAACTCGGCAAGAAGATTCATTGCCTACGCACAAACAACGGAGGATAGTACACATCGAAGGAGTTTTATGATTACCTGAAGCAGCACAGATTCAATGACAACTAACATGCCCAAATACTTCACAGCAGAATGGCGTAGCTAAAAGGAAGAATCGTCACCTTGTGGAGATATGTCGAAGCATGCTTCATGCCAAGAACATACTAGGACGTTTTTTGGTAGAGTGTATGAAGACGGTGGCACATATGATCAATCAGCTACCACAACCAAAACTAGAGTTCATGTCATCATTTCAAAAGTTGTAGAATACCAACTCAACTGTAAGCCATTTCAGAGTTTTCGATTTTGTATGTTATATCTTCGTGCCTGATCACCTTCGCAATAAGTTCGACAAAAAGGCTATAATGTGTATTTTTGTGGGGTATGATAATGAAAGAAAAGGATGGAGATGTTGTGATCCCACAACCGGACGATGCTACACATCGAGGAATGTTGTGTTTGATGAAGCTTCATCTTGGTGGACTCCACAATAAGTTGTGCTCCCAAAATCTAATGATTTAGAGGATCAGTTGTAGAATAAGCTGGGGGAGCCAAGTCAAGAAGAAGAATTGAAGTAGTCAAAGAAGACAGAACCAAGTTCTTCAACATCCTCAAAGAAGAATAATCCATGGAAGACTGGTGTTTGTCAGACAACACCAGAAGAAGTACGCTCGAGCCAGATAGAGGATATTGAAGAAGAACCAGTTGAACAACTTCGAAGATCAACCAGGCTCAGGAAGCCAAATCCTAAGTATGCTAATGTTGCTGTGATAGAAGACGTGAAAGAGTTATTTACCTTCAAAGAAGCATACAGAACTGATGAATGGAGAACAGTGAGAGAGGAAATCCAAGCTTTGAAAAAGAAGCTAGATTTCTTAGACTTGTGGATAGAGAAGTTGCTGCCGAGTGGGAGTGTTAGAAATCAGCAGCACCTCCACCTACCAAGCCATCATCACAACAGTTCTCACCTACCTTATAGTGTTCACCAACAAACGTAGAAAATTCTATATAAGGGGCTAAAGATGAGTGCGTGTATCATCCCAAGCCACTGGAAAATAATAAAAGAAAGAGTGAAGAGCTTGTGGATCCAGAGAGGGAAAAATAAAAAGTAGTGTGGTGAGATCCCGGTAGTAGAGAAGGGGGGGTATTTGTATTTGAGAGTATAGTGTGTTTGTACCACTAAAGAAATAATGACAAAATATTCCTTGGTGTCCACCACTCCTCTAAACTCAACACGGCTTTGGCTTCGATAGCGATGGTGGTCATAGTTTTTCCTTTAGAGTAATATAGTTCTTAAATTTTCAACTTTTGATGGTAATGTAGTGCTTCTTATGTTAGTAAATAGTGCATGTATTACTATATTACTTGTCTTCCAATTCCCATATTGTTAGAGTTATGAAAGTAGAGAACTTCTGAGCCTTACCATTAGCATAATGGACACTAAATAAAAGTATGGGAAGAGATATAGGTCTAGCATGAGAGAGAAGAACCACTTAGCATAGCCAAGGAGTTGCCTATGAACCAACATTAAGATCTCAATATTTCTATAACTCAAGCTACCAAAGGTCTCAATGAGCATATAGGCAAATCATCCTTGGCTACCAAAGGTAGGTTCTTATCTTCATGTAAGTCCTCTCTTCCACTCTATTGCTTCTTGTTGATATTATTGTAATGCTTGTTTCAAATGGCTCTATATATAAACAGGTAAGGTTATATGTTTGTACGAAGTTCATAACATTATCCTATCAATAAAGCGCCCTCTCCCCATAAAGAATATATTCCCATCATCCAAAGAGACCCTCAAGCTCACAATTTTCTTTATGGATGAGATGGTAGAGATTAGTAATTCATGTATCTTCCATGAACCAAAATCATTTTCCACTTTATTGTCCCATAAAGGGATAGCTCAAAATCTTTCTCCTTTCTCGTTGAAAATATTCAATAGATTGATGCTTTATTCAACTGTCAAAATTATCCACATTCTCTCATCCCCCCACCCCACCACCCCACCAAAAAAAAAGAGGGGGGGGGGGGGGGGGGGGGGGGCTTCTAGCCCCCAATTCCTTTACAA